CCTATAGGCTAGGAGACACTCTGTATGTATAAATTACTAGTGATGTTATCGGCAGCGTTGCTGATTTTTCACGGTCAGTCGGACTCAAGGGCAAGTTTAGCGAGTGTAAATTATTGTATTATATATATATATTTTCTATCTACCTTCTTACCAACCCACACCTATATAGAATTTTTTTTGTGTGCGATCTGTCAACAGCTGTAGCAACAGGTTCGCCGTGGCAATGCATATAGCTGCAAATATAAGAACAACGTAGAATGTATGAAACTTACAACTTATATGACGATGCAATAATGTGAAGATTATATTAACTGAACACTTATAATAAGTTATAATAACGATACAATTATATTATAAGACGCGAGACAACAAATCCCTGCCCTCAGAAAAATTAATCTCGTTTTGTTATTTTTCACGATTTATATTCCATTGAAAGTTATTTATTTTTTGCCATCTATATTACCCAATTGTCGATGTTCGTAAAATTGCACAACAATTTTAATAGTCTTCACCTGATGCAGTGATCCGTTCGTGTCTTTCAGTACCTATATATACCTATACTTAATTTGTTTTAGACAATTTATCACACTTCGTGTCGAATTGATAAAACGTGTGATACACGATCGACGATCATTATTTTATAGTACATTACGCGTTATGGCGTACCTAAACGATATAATATTATAAACTGTATGAACAAATATAAAATTGTATGCATAGTTTATTAAAATATTATCGAMGTGACGACGTGTGATAATATATTTTATTATAATATATTATACATCGTTAAATAATATTAATCCAAAATTTCGGCACGCGTTACGAAGTGTAGTTAATAAACAATAGGTTTTATAATATATTAAGTATGCCGAATGCGAAAAGAAATTATTATTAAAATATTATTCGTGCGTACCTACTTATTGGCTCGGCTATATTATATTAGGTACAATGTGTCAAAATATTATTACGGTGCCGATTATGCATTATTTATATTATTATTATATCGTTAGCGGGTAAACGATATTATTGTAGTGTAAAATTGGGGAAAATAATAATGAAAAGTTAATATTATATTATATACGTTAAACTATTATAATTATATCGACTACCTAATTCAATGTATTATAATAAACATCCGCTGCGGCTGAGGGGTACCGCGTAATGCTATAATTTTGTTAGGTATTTGATTTTTTTTTTTTTTACATAAGATGGTATACTACTTACGGAGTGACCGGGAGAGGGTTATGTAAGTTTAAGTAACACTAAAACGAAAAAAAAATAATACAACATAACAAGGAGGTTTTGTTGGATAACACGGGTTGGCGCAATCCACTAGAGGGCGTCGATTCAGGCAGGCAGGCACCGTCGTCGTTTGTATATATGCGCTGCAATTGCGTCATTGACAAACTTGGTACCAATATATAACATTATTCTTATTATGTAAAACCTTAGGTAAACCTCTGGCGGTCGGGACATTTTTACCGCATTATGTATTGTACGTACGATGACGGTAACAATAATAATAATAATAATAGTAATAATATTATATTATACCTACATAATATTATAAGCTGCACAAGCGTTGTTATGATACACTCGCACGGAGACCAGAGATTATAATAATAATAATAATAATAATAGTAATAATATTATTATTATTGTTGCTTGCGTTGAACAGTTTTTCGGGGGTCGCGGATTTCTACCATTGTGTGTCGGCTGGGACGTGTCTCGACTCTCGAGAATATAATATTATAAATTGTACAATAATTCATTTTATTTTAATATTGGAATCTATCACGAGCAGAACACAATACACATTCACAGAGCATAATATTAGATCTATTATAACTTATAATTTCATAAATACCAATAACATCGCATATTTCCTCCTGTACAATTATATTATTGTATCATATTTATTTTTTTGTACAGAGATGAGCACTTGCTTAGTACGCGCAATGTGTCGAATTAATATAGTTAAATATTAATAGTGATGTTATTATTTTATATATTACTCTATGACCCATGTTATATCTACTCATTCGCACGTATTATGTTGATTAGTCGACTGAAACTAACAATCAGTTAAACGTTTTTTTTTTT